CTCCGCCCCGGCGGGGCAGCGCGGGCCGGGCCCGGTCCCCATCGCCGGCGGAGCGGCGCTGAATGCGGCCGGCGCCGGGCCGTTTGTCGCCGAGTCCTTCGTTCCCCGCTCTTTTCCGCAGCAGCCGGTGGCCACCACTAGTTTGCAAGAGTTTTCACAGAGCACTGCCCTGGTACGGTCTAGAGGGTCGTTAGCAATCATAATACGGGGAAAAAAACCTGCATGATTAATTTCTCTTTAATACATGCAACCGGATAACAACATACAACGCGCTCAGAATATTAAAAGTCTTCAGATTTAGGGCGTCTGCTTTTAACATCTCTATATTTTAAGCGTTTCTTCAGTTGTTTGTAAAAGTCAATAATGTTGCTGGAAACGTGATTTACGAAAAATAAAAAATCTGCCCTCTAAATCTTTCCAGTTTTTGTTACTGTAAATTTAAAATAACAGATCATTTCCACCAAAAGTCAGGAAACCATGCTGAAGGTAAATGTAAGCTGCTTGTCAGAAGAAGTGTTCTTCCAGTCAAACTGCTGTTCTGGATGCCTTAAAAATTGTTAAGCCACTAAAAACGCAGAGACTCCTCAGCTGGATTTCCAGCTAGCTGTGTACCTTTACAATGTGCAAGATAGTGCACACGGTTCTGTATTCAGTGGTTACAAAGGATAACCTACTCTTGGTAAAGCAGTGGGAAAAGATGGATGAGCACCAGCCCTGAAAGGTGCTGAGTGCCCTCAAAATCCTTTTTGGGGTTCTTGATGTGTTTCAGGACATGGTCAGTGCCACATAGTCTTGGACCCTAAATGTCTTTAGCTTGGTGAAGTACATCTGAATGAAACTGGTTTATGTATTAGAACAAAGTATATTACAGTTTGGCATGCATCCCTGCTTTGAAAAGTAATGTTGCGTTACCTTTGGGTACTAACAAGTTTATGTTCTCAAAGTAACCTTTGCTATTAGATCACCAATACTGAGAAACTTGCAGTTCTTTCGTAAGTATGAGAGAAAGACATCACTTATTCGGCAGGTTTCTTAATTGCCGTAGCTGCTTTGATTTAACCCCTCATTTAGTTAACATTTCCATTTATTGGAACCTACCTTTCCAAGACCCAGTAATTATAATATTTTTTGATGAGTGGAGATCTACTCTCAGTTACTGAATGTTTGCAATTGGAAAAAAAAATAATATTCAAAATTTGTTATGTGAAAGGAAAATGCAATTAAAAACATTATGTATACATGGGACTTTATTTTATATGGGAGCTATCTGGAAAGTAGATAATACATAACAAAACACAGATATTTTCAGTATAATGCTGAGCTTTCTATTATAAGTGCTAGAAATCCTAATTTGTTAAGGATCTGTACAAATCCACTTTAAAAAGAAAAAACGTCTGCCCTGCAAACATGTAATTTCAATAGTGAATATAGAGAAAAGATGGGGAAAAGGAAGTAAGGTTCTGATGTTGTAGATGGTGAAATGAGACATTTGGAGAAGAGACAGTTTTTCATGAGTTTTCATAGCAGCTCCTGCTGTTATGCTTATGGCTATTATGCTGTATTGTTAAAAGCTGCGCAAGTGGCTCGCCTACAAGGAGACTGCAGAATAACCAGGTTCTCAGTCCTAACTCTGGGTCCTAGGTTCTGGGTCCATGATCACAGCTTGATTAATTAAGTATTGCCATTTAAAAAAATAGTGTCTCACGAATCAGGTACTATTACCAGATTCTGCTATTAAATGTCTTCTAGGAAAAGTAAGAGAAAGAAAAGGCTAGAGTGAAGCTTGGAGAGAGACCACCCTTTTCTTGGTACTACAAGTGTGAGGATGACTGAAGAACAGCACAGCCACATTTTATTTCATTATGATGTTATTTCATGTGAACTAATCTCACCGTCCCTTTAGCTCCAGTGACGATTACTATTTTCCCGTTTGTCACCTACTACGGTCATTTCTCCCATGCAGTCTCTTATGGACTCTGCATGTTACTCTATTAGGCTCTGTCTGCCTCTGTGAATCCAACTGACTTCAGTACAACTTCCCCGTGTCTTGTTTCTCTCCCCAATACTGCTACAACCCTGTCTCTTCCCAGGGACATAAATAACCCTTTCTGAAAACCAAGGAACTAGGGGCAGGGCTATAAACGAGTAAAGGCAATAGTGCTTTCGTTTTTAAAGGAGTGGGGTTTTCTTCCTGCGTAGCACTTGCTTGAATCAAATAACTATGCTCTGGGGCCTTCAGGAGGTAAAATATGCATGGTGGAAAAGGGAAGAAAAGCAAATTTACTGTGTCAAAGAGAATGCAGTTTGATTGGTTTTCATGTTCTGTGATTCGTATTAAACTTTCAGCTTCCTAACTTACTACAAAAGCAAAAAAAGCAAATGTGTTTACTTTCCTGCTTCAGTTTAAGTCAGTTTTTCTGGAGGAAAAAGTCTCATGAAACAATATTGGTGAATGCACTGGAAAGTTAAATATTTTCTTGTAAATGACAATTGGCCTTGAAATGGTACAGGAAGGAGCCAGTGAATGCTCTAGCAGATTATTTTAACATTTTGTTTTGAGAAGTCGGTGTGTGAGAAGCTAAAATGGGCAATGACTGTGTCTGTAAAATGCCTGGCACATACTTGGGCAAAACCAGTGCCAGTTAAAGTTGTAGATTTCATTATTAGTAGTTGCATCCTTCATAAAGCATTTTAATTCGTGTTTCAAGACCCTGGCCTGTTTGTTAATTTGACACAGGTGAATGGTGTCCATCCAGAATGCAGATTTCAGCTGGAGATTCACAAGGAGGAAACAAGGTGCATGGAACTTCTAAAGAATGCAAAGCCAGTGGACTACAAAGGTAAGAAAAGATAAGCTGTAATGTAGGGACAACTGGAATATTCAAGATTTTCTCCCTTCACCTTCTTTGCTGTTGCAGTTGCCGTATTTGTCTGTACTGTGCTTATAATTTTATGTATTTTAGAATTTACGCAGATTTTGTGTTAAAGGTACGTCTGCAGCAAGTATGTTGTGAGAGGTGTGCCAGGTGCTAGGCATGCACTGGGTGGGACACTAGATGGGAGCAAATGCATTCTCATGTTTTAAGCTGTTGCTGCTAGTATTTTCTGACTGGCAGAGACGCTGCAGGCTGGTGATGACAGGACCAGCAGAAAGAACAAGTCTGGGGAGAAGTTGAAAGCCTTGCATCCAAGCATCTCTAGCTATGGTTGAAAGTAAAGTACTAGTGGCAGGAGTGATCTCTGGGTTTCCCAGGCAGAAGATGTTTCAGACAAGATCAGATTCACACCCAGAGTACTATAGAGTCATGCAAAGGAAAAACTGGACAGTAGCGTTACATTCAAAAAACAAATTCTCTCTGTTACTTTATTGTTTTTATTTTCTCTCTACATAGAAAGATAAATATATAGATACAGATATGGCCAATTGTAATTTAATAGCAGAAAGAAGGAAGAGGAGATGTAGTTCATTATTTTTTTAATTTTAGATTTTACTAGATCTCCTTGCTACATTTTCATGTGAGTAGAACATAAGATTATGTAAAAATGACATTTTTCTTGTAAGTTGGAGCTGCTGATAAAGTCATTTGTTCAGCAAGCAAAATACAAAGGCGACAGATAAATCCAGACAGCCAAATGAAAAGCAAATCTGTAACATTAACTAGGGCAGAACTTGGTTAAAAGTTTTTGGCTTTTTAAGAAAGTTGGAAGTGTGTATTTATTAATGTTAATTTTTTTTTATGACAAAGATATTAAAGATTTATGATTAGTTATCTTTTGTAAACTGTATGCCAGAACTTGTGAGCAGAAAGCAGTCTCTATGCACCTACTGGTGAAAAGGTAAAAGTGCTTCTTGGTTTTTATGACAGATATTAATGTTTTATGATTAGTTATCTTTTGTAAACTGTATGCCAGAACTTGTGAGCAGAAAGCAGTCTCTATGCACCTACTGGTGAAAAGGTAAAAGTGCTTCTTGGAGTGCTTCATTTGCGTATGTTACCTGCCCAGCACTCCTCTGGTAACATGTAAAATATTGAAGGGAAGGGTGGGCTTTCAGTGAGACTTAGAAAAAGGGGAAAGAAATTTTAGAACTAAAGGCAACTGAACATTTTTCAGTTCAAAATACAATTTTGATTTTTACAAAGTAATGTCACATCTAAAACTAATCATTAAATTTGTGTTGTTAAACGATCTTTAAGTGGCTTGAAGTATTTAATTTCAAATTAGTTCTACAAAGCCATAAGCCTCATCAGTGTCCTGCCTTTTGATATGGTAGTCCAGGTATGTATCATCGCAGAATAACTGGGCTCCTTGGAATACTACAGCTCTTGCAGTGCAGTTGTTTTCCCTTGGCTGAACTAGGTGATACATAATGTATTTGTTTTTTCATATTCAGTCCTTTTTGAATGCGCTGTGAAGATGATTATGATATCTCAGGGACCTGCCATCTGCAGTGCCCTTTGAGCATAAACATGAGTCCCAACTCGTGATGCTTTCTCCACCTCTCTTCTTGATTTGAATGTGACTCCCTCAGTGCATACTCTAATATCAATTTGTATACAATAATTAAAAGGATCATCAACAGTTTGTATTTTACTATAATTTTTCCTTTTGATTAATCCAGATCAGTAATTAGAAAATTATAATAACAGTGAATAATTTACATGGATATCTCTTCCAAGCAAAATCTTACTGGAATAATTGATCTACATTTAGATTTTTTTATTTATGAGTGGTGAAGAGAGACGGCTGTTACATAAATAATACTAGTGTGAAGCCAGATGGAGAAATAATTGCTAGCACAGCTTAATGAATTAAATCTTGAATTAATAAATTCAGTATTAGCTATTATACAGTTTTGAAAGTCAAGCTTTTTTCAAGATCCACTTTTGTGATACAGATGCTGGGCTGCTCCAAGGGTATCCTTGTGATGCACACCAGTTTTTTCCCTAGGGGAAGAAAGAGGTTTTCTGTCAATATTTTCTTCACAGCCTCTTTTCACTGGAAGAGGGGTGCCTCCTGAAGGCAAACTGCTGTGTAAGAACTTCATGTCTTGGAAGGAGACAGTATGTCTGATGGTGTCGATTCAGCCCTGCAGGTAGTGATAAAACAGCAGTGGAAGGATTTATACATGTAATTGAATGCCTGGCTGAAACTAAGGGAATGTTCCATTTTGTAGGAGACTGGAATAAAGCCCCTGTGGTAATGAACCCTTAAAAACTGTATGTTTAATGTTATAGGAGAATTTTTACTATGCTTCATGTTACAGAGACCTTTACCATGAACCTGTTCAGAAAAGCCATGTTAAATATATGCATTTCCAAAAATATCCATTCTCTATGCATCCTTATTTTCCTAATAAACTCTCTGTATTCATAAAAGATGTAATGAGTATTTTGAACAGAGACTTGCAGATTGTCACAGTGATACTCTGACTGCTGATAAAGAAGAATTACTAATGAAAATTGGCAAGCTGGAACTAGTCCAAGTCCTAGCTCCACACCTAAAACTTGTAGTACACTTGAAACATAATTCATTACAATAAATTCACAAAACCTATTTCACTTTTTCCTGAATGGGAAAGATGGTTATACAGCTCTTAGCACACTTTCCTAACTTCAGTATGTGCTACCTGCCTCACAAAAGCTATAATGAAATTGAATGGAAGGTCCTGTCTAGAATTTGGAAATACAGGTTCACTGAGATTTTCCACAGGAGGCTTGGGCCTCCATTATCAAAATCAGGGGGAATTTTTTCATTAACTACTTGGGCACCTGAGAAGCCTTCACACCTCTATGTAACATGCTCCAGAATTTGGCTGGCATGCACAGTGACTGAATTTTTGAGGATCCAAATTTTATGGGACAGGCAGATAGCAATTATGTATGGAATACCTTATCTAATACTTCTCAGGTCCCAGTTAGGGAGACATGAAGGAAAGATTTAAAGGCGACTGTGGTATTTTTTTTTGACGTAATAAAATGATGTTATAGTCATCTTAGCTGAGCTGCCTTATAACACGGGCTGAAGAATTTCACTGAGTAATTTTTGTAGTGCACCTAAAATCATTGACTATGAAGTCTACAAAGGACTTGCTTACTTCATGGCTTAATAAAGCAATAGTGTGTTTTGCAAGGAAGCACTGTATAAATACTGTGTGAATGTCCTCTGAACAATGCTAAGGATACATTAAAACCACAGGACCCAGTTTGTCTAAATTCTGCTCATTTGCCAACGTCAAACTGTTAGACATCCGGACCTCCTGCTTTGCACTCTTTGGGGGATTTTCAGGCATTAGCATGTACTCTTCCATTAGCAGAGAGCATTACACTCCATTTAGAGAAGAAAGTCACTCTCCAAAGATCTGTGGCAGTGCCTTCCTCTCTGTAGTGCTCTCCAGTAAATCTAGTTGTTTATTTTATGAAGACTGCATTAGCTTCCATCCACATTTGTTTTCTTCTATTCTCCTATAATTTGACACCCGAGGTATGGATGCACCTTAGCTGGAAGCCTAGGAGAGGATTTTTTTTTTTGCACTCTCATTTTTGGAGGGCAGATTAATTCCATTCTAAATAGCTCATAATAGCTACAGGTTTTGAGTGGGAAAACACTAATTTATCTTTTACCTACTACCCATGGTTTGTCTTCTTAAAAAAATAGAAAGCTCCCAATAAAAGTGATTGAAAATGCATAAAAAATGGCCAACTGCAATTTCTGTCTTTATTCAGTATTTAGAATTTTACCTTTTAAAGTAATTGATTTATTTCTGTTCACCTTTAAATGAAAAGTGAAATCTTATGGTCAAAAATGTTAAAACTCAATCAGCAGACTTTATAACAGGGTTCTACAACAAAAAGTTCTAAAAAGATCTTCTTATGCAAAAATTAAGTCTGGGGTTTGGTTTTTTTTCATTTTGGACTGAGTGGCTGCACAGTTAAATGAGTCTTTTCAGCTCTTGCTTTCCAAAACGTGTTTGTGACACCCATATGCCAGACAACATTTTTAATTTTAGATATGGCATCTTAACTTTGAGGAAGGGATGTAGACGGAAAGAGAAATGGTTTTGGAAAGAATTTCATAAACCTCTTAAAGAGAGGCTTCATAATGCAGCTAGTAATGGGAAATTAAAACAGACAGGACTACCAAAATGATAAGCTCACTTATTCATAAATTTAAAGCAAGAGGGACCAATGTCACTATGTAATCTAATCTCCCAAATTACACTGCCAATACATTTTCACTCAGTGACTCCAGCACTGAGCTCACGATCTTGTGGATGAAACAGAGCACATCCTTCTGAAAACTCTTCAGAACGGTGGGATGAATATTCAAATGTTGGATCCATGGTAAGATGTCCAAAAGTTAGTTTATCCAACTAACCTCTGCTGTTCAGGTTATTTCTCCAGTAAGAAAGGTGCCTACTTTGCATTCCAAACCCACAAATACACACACACACATGTATCTCTGCCTCGCGCAAAAGAAGGACTGACTGTGAGCATAACTAAGCCAATCTGACAATCACTCTCTCCTCCACATCAGTAAACGGGAGACTTGCACAAAGCCAGATGAGGGCTTTCTTTTGCTATGTGAAAAGGAATCTCTTCAAGGTTCCCACTTTCTTAATCTTCCCAATCTCATCAAGGTCTTCCATCAGTTTTTGTTTGTTTGCAGCTATTTTCTCTGTAAAATGAGTCAGTAGTTCAGACTGCAGTGTTGCTTAGAGTTACCCGAGGTAGCATTAAAGGTAGAATTAAATGAAACAGTGGGATCACGGAACTTTCTTTCATGCAGCACCAGTAGCTCTTGGCAGGACAACTTTAGCTTTCTTGAATCTCTGTGCTGC